TTTTTAAACAAGGGGAGCCTTCTTTATAACCAAACAAATATACACACCAATAAAACCAAACTTCTCCAACAGGTAGGGCAATGCCCACTTTTGGTGTAAGTCAAGATTTCTGAAAACCCCCAAAATCTGGGTTAGCCCCCTCTTCTGGGCTCCTGACTCTTTCTGCAGCCTTTTTACTGCTACTACTTGGCTCCTTCTTACTGTTGACTTTCAGCCACACGCCTGATCTTCTGGTAGGAAAGATCTACACCTAGCCTTCTCGGACAAGGTCGAAAAATCTCGGAGGTCCCGTGTGCAAGTTGTGCACGTTAAAGATCCCTTGGTAGTCCAAAATCGACAAGAGTAGGTTTCGGCCGCCACCCGGCCAAAATTCAAGAAATCCTAACAACTGAAAATGTTTGGTGTGTCCCACGCGCTCATAATATGACCTTATGCAGTTGCGAGCGCCGTAAAACACTTAGGCCTACCGAAAAAAAAAACCCCAACAACAACAAACAAATTAAAAAAGCTTCTGGTTGTGCCCAGCCTAGCACGTTATCTCTGTCACACTTCTCGTCTGTTTCCAATTCTCGACAGAGCAGTTTACCATTTACAGCCCTTTCACTCTCTGAACCAAGGCACACGTTGCCCACAGACTATCAATGATAATGTTAGTAATAATAATAAATAGCATTTGTACAGTGCATGTCCCCACTCGAAAGCAAGCTCTGTGCGCTTTGCACTATATTATTACCCCAGCAGACCATAGAACACTCAGAAACATTCTCAGCTTCACGGGTAGCAGACAGTTCAAGCAGCTGGTTAAGCGCTCAAACATTAACAACTGAAAAGATCTTTCACTGTCTATAGCTGGGTACCCATTTCCACCTGGGTGAAGTGGGGGAAATTCGTGTAAAGTGTCTTTCCCAAGGACACAACGTCGGGCCCGCGGCTCGAACCCGCGAACCCGCAACCTCACTTTTACGAGTCCGGTAGCCTAACCACTAGACCACCGACGCCACTAATAATAATGTTGCGACTTAGTTGCACGACATCAGCGTGCAAAATAGTTAAGTTGAAATAATGTTGTTTTACTATTAAGACACACATGTCGTGCTTAAAAGGCGCTTGTAAATCAACGTTAATTTGTCTGTATTGTGTTCTCAACTCGACGTCCTGTCAAGTCTCTACAATAACATCATCATCAATCATGTATTTATAGAGGCACCAGTCGTCCACGTCTAGGTGCTGTTTTAACAACACGTAGCCTCGATAACGCAGTGTAGAACTTATGGATATGGCTCAGACGTGATGTAATATGAATTCAGTAGGCCCTACAGGGTACTTGGATATACATATTTGAATGTCTATTATGACTGGTTAACACCCGCGAGTATTCAAATAATAATATTATGGTGTCGCTGGTCAAATGGCCACTGGACTCGTAATCGTGAAATTGCGGGTTCAGGGGCTCGGGGGTTCGGAGGTTCAGGGGTTCGGGGGTTCGAGGGTTCGGGCGTTCAGGGGTTCAGGAGTTCAGGGGCTCGGGGGTTCAGGAGTTCAGGGGCTCGGGGGTTCAGGAGTTCAGGGGCTCGGGGGTTCAGGAGTTCAGGAGGTTCAGGGGCTCGGGTGTTCGGAGGTTCGGGGGTTCGGAGGTTCAGGGGTTTGGGGGTTCGGGTTTTGGGGGTTCGGGGGTTCGGGGGTTCAGGGCTCAGCTCGACCCGACATTGCGTCCTCGGGAAAGACACTTTACTTTACACAAATATTCATCGCCCTCACCCAAGTGTGGATGGGTACCTGCCGTAGACAGCGAGATGTCAAGTCAGGATTTTAGTGTTTCAGGGCCAGTAAAATGGCATTTCACACTGTCTGTATGCGTCCCGAGAAGTTTTGAGATTGTTTCAGCATGCTATCAGGTCTGATAACAGATTGTTTTACATGTATAATATGTCCTATACAATTAATGATATGAACATATTGGTATTGGTATCGGAGAAGGCTGACGTCTTTGATATGGTAATCAACGCTTTCACTGCAGAGACAATTCCATCCACTGACAAAATAAAACTTTCAGTCAAGAGAGATTTAAACAAAGCCATATCTTTATTAACCCTATTTAAGAATAAACATCTTGCATTGCTGTAATGTAATTGTATTTTCTATTTTTATTCTTACTTCCCCTATAGATTAGTAAAAAAATTTTATTTTAAACAAGCAGAGAACAGTTTTGTAGAAGACACGCGAGTAAATACGTCCACACAGCAGTGATGTGGTTAAAGGGAGACTTTTTTTTTTAATGAAGTAAAAGGCCTATACATAATCATTATAATATAAATGCTATAATTTTTCTCTTCACGAAATTTTTTTTTTTTAACAAACCACAAGCATAACACATAGTAATATTATAGAGGCAGATAGTAGACCTCCAGTGTACTCGGGTAAGAGAATTTTTGGGTTAACCCTATCCGTACGCCTTGGGGTCATTTTGTACCCCCGGGGTTGTATTCTTCACATGTTAGAATATTTCTAGTACGAAGATCTCTTTGAAACTTTCAGTAATTCTCAAAAAGTCCTTTTGACTGACTGCTGTGCAAAGCGTACGGATCGGATAAACGAGTAAATTTCTTCTTTGGAAAGTGGTTGCACATAATTCCCTACGTCGTATGGATACGATAGTAAAACTCGACATTTGGATAGGGTTAAATTTCAAATAAAACCAGATACAGGGAGCGACAATGACAGACCCAGTAGTAATAGTAAAGATAACGCTGGCTGTTCTACAACTACAAAGAGGTCATCAAATCATAGTAAATAATAATATAGCCTCAGTACATTATGTATAGGTCTTTATGTTGTCTGGGAAAGTTACTCCCAGTGTGGGTGCTCGCTAGGGCTGGGCAATGAGTCTCTTTAACAAAATCCGGATATTATGTTAGTGCACCTCTTCAGCAAATAATTATGATATGAGTGGCTTCGTCAAACGGGTTAGAACCACTTCAACATAAAGGTTAGCATCACTTCAACAAATGGGTGCACCCACTTCGGCGAACGGATCAGGAAAGAGAATTAGGAGCCTGAATTCGAACAGTGTTTCATTTATGATTATCCAGTTATCCGGATAGATTATCCGGATTTTGCTCACCTCTAGTGCTCACTAAACCGGCACCGTGCACATTGTGGCTGCAAAAATTCTAAATGTCAGTTATTAATTATTAATCAACTCAGCAGAAGCAAGTGCCGTGTCCCTGGAATTTCGACACATTGCATCAATACCCCAACCCCCTTTATGCTTCACCAGCCTGTTGAAAGAGAGGTAGGCAGAGAAGGAGATGGGATGACAACATTACAGAGTGGACAGGAAAGACGATGGGTGACAATCTGAGGAAAGCAGAGGACAAAGATAAATGGCGAGAGCTGGTTTTCAGACGCAGAGGTGCCCCCACGGTTGCCCCAACCACGGGATAGAAGATGGAAAAGAAGAAAAAGCCTATTGAAATCCCGGGAAACGTTGTTTCCTCCGTTGTGACCCGGTCAACTCGGACATTATTTTTCTGCCGTTGGTCACAAGTTGGTGTGAGAGAGAGAGAGAGAGAGAGGGAGAGAGAGAGAGAGAGAGAGAGAGAGAGAGAGAGAGAGAGAGAGAGAGAGAAAATTCAATGGAAGGGACTGCATTCATAATATATTATGCAGAATGTACATTCTTTAACGAATTACTTCCCTTGCATAAAGAGCACGCGTTTTCCTTCTTCAAAGTTGTAATACATGTAGATCTAGTTGTTGTTGTTGTTTTTGTTGTTGTTGCTGTTGCAGTTGTTGTGTGTGTATGTATTTGTATGTATGTGTGTGTAGTGTGTGTGTGGGGGGGGGGGGGTTTGTGTGTGTGGGTGTGTGGGTGTGTGGGTGTGGGTGTGTGCGTGCGAGGGTGGGTGAGTGTGTAACATAACACTTTGTCAGGCGGGTTAAGCCAGGTAAGGTAGAGCTAGTCGTTCAGATTTCAAACCCTCTTGCGAGTAAACTTAGGTCTGTCTCCCGCTGCATGTGAGGACTCAGTCAGTGGCTCCGGCAGATTGCACGGATGAAACCACTCGACTGGTCCAACCACTGACCGAAAACTAAAACTATATCTTTTAAGGTCAGTGGATCCAACGGGCACGAAGGTGGTCACGACTGAGCGTCGTGGAGTGCGACAAGGGCAGAGTGAGACAGGAAGTCACTGGGGTTCTCTCGTCGTCTACGTGTCTGTCCACGTCGTTTTACGCAAGAAAAAGTCTGAAATTATGCAAACTGAGCCCAAAAATTTGAAATTATGCGATTCTGTTAATTTTAACAAAGAATGATAAAGGAAAATAATCAGAAATTAAGTAAAAAAAACGATCAAATTTTGCTAAATTATGCGGGATGCAAAAAAACACGGGGACAGACAGGTACGGTGTTCGCCTCTCATTCACTACGTCCCGGGCTCGAAACCTGACAGCGACGGAAAATTGTCTTCTCTATAAAGGAAAATGTTGTCCTTTCACATCCTTTCCTGCCCCCTACCCATGTTCTGTCGCCTGCTTTTGTCTCCACTTTATTGGGAGGGATGCAAATGAACAGAGACGAGAGAGAGAGAGGCTAATGATCTTGCGCAGCTCCCCCCTCACTTTCTTAAAAAAATGGGGAGTGGTTTTTTTTGTTTTTGTTGTTTGTTTGGTTAGTTTTTTTTTGTGCTTGCAACTGACTGCATAAGGGGTCATGAGCGCTAATTGGGACATTACATGTACTTTGGTTATTGATTTTTAATTTTGCCCGGATGACGGCGAGAGAGAGAGGGTATGTGTGTGTGTGTGTGTGCGAGAGAGAGAGAGAGAGAGAGAGAGAGAGAGAGAGAGAGAGAGAGAGAGAGAAAAGAAGAAGAAGTGGTGCTTGCCAAAAGATCAACCCAGAAGAAGCAGCATTAGACCATAGAGTTATCTCCTTTTAAACCTATAGTGTACATCTATGTATTTGACTTATATAGGCCTACTCTCTGGTAGTGTGAAACAAACGCCATGAAATGATACAAAAACATGTTCAAGAAATGAAACTGGGCGGGGGGATATGTTTTGAGCTGAAAATCACTCTGTTTAAAAATTGCAAAGTGGCATGAGGTAGGCCTATAGATATCGTTGTGTGCTATAAATTAGCAAGATGGGAAGTTTGCCACTTTTTCCAAATGAAAACATATTCTGCTATACTTTTAAAATACGACCCGGAAGTCACGGCGTCACCAAGGACGCCGAGATCACAAGGCGCGGAACTAATGAGTATGGCGGAATAAGACAATACGTGGTTGGATTACAGATTGTTAAGGTGATGATGCTTATTTCCCTAGTTTATTATTAGCCCGTTATATAATCTTATAAATGAGACTAAAATTCCATAATGTACGTTGTCAGAAAATTTCTAGATAGATGGGTCCCTTGTTTTAAAATGAATACCGTGCGCTGTATTCCACAGTGACATTGAAATGAGATTGATGAATTTATATTTTAAGTTTTGCTCCTTTCAGTTTCACTTTTCAATCACTCACTGACACACGACAACTTGCTTTAACCTACTTTTAACAATTTCCAGCAGTCTTCTGGAATTTCTCCCACCAGTCCACCAGCGATAGCCTTTTTATATTAGAAAGTGGCTATTCTCACCCGCCCGGAAGTTCTCGCAAGATCAACTCCTCCCCTCTTCTTTCTCTCTCTGTCTCTTTCTGAATACTGTCTATCGGTGTGGACGATCAAATTGACCAAAACAAAGTTTAAAAATGATGTTAAAACACAAAAGTAAATTAATTTGGTTGTCTACAAAGATGCTACGGCTATTTAACTTTTCGAATCCAGCCGAACTACGCGGGTCGCCATTTTGTTTTGCCCGGAAATTATCGCGCTACTCCTCTCTCTCTTTCCCTCTCTCTCTCCACTGCCCACAGACAAAATTGTACGCTTTTAGTAGGCTACAGTTGTAATGGTACGTTTGTTCACGGCACAGAATTCTACAATTTTTCCTCACAGTGTAGAATTCTATGGTTTAGGGTGAACGCAAAATTTGGTGAACGCGCACCGGGTGAGAATAGCCACAAGACTCGCCTGCACTATTCTCACTCCGGGTGAGAATAGAGGTGGCCTTAAAATTAAGTTAAACTTATTGTTTAGGCCCAGAGAAATCTAGATCTAGATATCTAGATTCTATAGTCTATAGATATAGAATCTAGATTTCTGCAGTAGACTTTGATCGTCTGTGAACAGTAGGCCTGTTTCATTTAGAATATAGGTTCTCCGGATGTGGGCTTGCTTCTTTCGTCAAACAATATTACGGTATAATTGAGTTATTTCTTTGTTTACTCTATGTATACTGTGTTGGATAACAAGATGAAGATGTGTAAACTTCTTAGATACTCTATTGTTCATCTTTTTATTTTTATCATTAGATTAGAAAACTATACATTCTCAATTTAAAATATGTGATTGACGGACTTTGTGGATTGGGGGGGGGGGGGGAGGAACCAAACACAGGGGAGATAATTTTGTGGGCAAATATGTTCTAGGGGAAATTTTATATGCCCCTGTGGGCCAATAAGCGCTCCGAATACTAAATCTAACTATGCTTATAGTTAGGCCTATATTTTAACTGTTTATTTGTTTTTTCTCACAAGTTGAAAGAATTAAAACATTTCTTTTGATGAAATTTTACACAGACTGAAGACATGAGTGGAGAAGCCATCCAAGTTCAAGTGCCTAAACCCAAGATGCAGAAGACAAAAGTATTTAATGTCCTCAATGCCAAGAGTCACAGTCACCCTTGGGAGGTAAGATAATATATATTTTTTGTTGTACCTCTACTGTCTACCACGCTTCTTCTTCTGCTAATCTTTCTCTTTTAATAGATCTAAATCTTACTGTTATAACAGTTATGCTGCTCTTTTTTAAAGTTTTCTTGACTGTCTCTGGATATTTTCTTTTCCCTCAACTTTTGTCGCAGGATGGCAATTTTTTCTGTACTCATTAAATTGCGTTATCTTAAACTCTAACACCTAGACAATCATAATCTACGCTGATAACAGCTTACCAATGTATACACAGAGCTCTATTCTCTGCTCTTACTAGATCTGCCTTCACCAATATTAAATTAAATGCACATTACTGATGTAGCTATTCTTGTCTAGATTTAATGGACATAGGTATTTAAAATAGGCTAATTAATAATTAAACCCTGCTTTGAAAGCTTCCTTTCCCTAACATTGTGAGTGTGACTGCAGGACCTATGTGTTGCTATAGTTCAGATGGAAAATACAACTAGGTTCCATTTAATGTTCGTTCTCAAGGAATTTAAAGATTGCCCTCTTGTGTGCAGCTTTGTAGGGGAGCCCACTAATTATAAAAAGAGGCAGGCAGTACTGACAGCGTAAATGGCTGTGGGAGAAAAAAAATGGAGGACAAAAAGAAAGATACCTACAGATAAAAATGGATTGTTTGTTTTAGTAAGATTGTACAGCGCTCGCAACTGCATAAGGTCATATGAGCGCCAAGGAGTGGATGTCAACAGAGATCAAGTCCAAATGGGAAATCAGGCTTACTCTGCTCACCTCTCTAGCTTCAACAACACAAAGTCTGCTTTGACTATCAAGGCACCCCGGAAATAGCAGTTCTCAAGACAGTGACAAACATAAAAAAGAAGTAGAGGAAAAATGACAATAGTAAGGATGAGGAAAGGGAAAACACCACTTCCCCCTATGTTGTTCTGGCACAGTATGAGCATGACATTGATAAATCAGCCCATTTACAATTCTACTGTGCATAAGAACATGTTAATTATTAATATACCCCCTTTGGGAATGGCCTAAAGACAACTTCAGTCAGTAGCACTGCTCTGATAGGGCTAAAAATGGATGGATGGGAACTGTAGCAATATGGTTGGAGCAAGTGATTGGTCCTGATGTAAGACTGTCTGGGATTTTGAAGAGATCAATACGGAGAAACATGCCTGTTGCTGCAGCAGGGTATCACAGCTGTTGAAGTTGATTATTTATGAATTAAAACTTTGTAATTTGTCAGGTGTTCCATGTCACTTTTGTGATTACATTTGTTTTACAACATGACAGTGAAGATTTGTTCATCTGCCTCATATTTAATGAAGAAAGGTTATTATTTGATAATGCAATGGAAAATACAGATTTGTTTGTTTTAATTAACAGTAAGTTATGTGAAAGTTTCTACTTTATTTTGTATCTTTTAAGTGCCTAATTCTGTATCTGTATCTGTTAGAATGTGTATTTGATTTTACAAAATGCGGCCCGTTATAAAATTTGATAATCGTCAGTGGAAATGTGATTGCTGTACCTATTTTCTGTCATTTTTTTCCTTTTGCCTTTTTTTCTACAGAATCGCACAAATCTGAGCGATGTCTATGAAGGTCCAATCACAGGCAGGGAGGCTTGGTGGCGATGTCAAATTCGAGTAAAGTTTTCAACTTTTTTGCAAAAATAGATCCTTGCATCTTTTAGTATTTGCTCCAGGCACTATGGTTTTGCAATATGATTATTTTTTCAGGTGGCGTTATACTTCAGTTAGTTTATTTATAAATTCAACCTTACCATTCTGTTCTGTAAAGATTTGTATTCATCATAAGAATATATGTATAAAATTATTTATTTCTAATTTGTGTAATATTGATACTCTGTGCTTTTGGGAATCAGCTTGGATCTACTTCTGCATTCTTGAGCCTTGTTTTTTTTTAAGTCAGCCAGTGACTGGTTAGGTGGTTTCTATCTCTCTTTGCTTTATGTACCGCTATACTGGCATTTTTTAACTGTTATATCATGCTGTTCTATTTGAAAACTAATTAAGTGTGATCTTTTCTCACTTTCAACAGACAACGCCAGTGCCAGGTGCATATGAGACAAGAGATTTCTTACAAGATCTGGAGAAAAAGCCAAACTCTTACAGATTCAAGTCTGATGGAAGGAAACTGCCAAGTGATTTTGCTGGGAAGGGGGCCATGCTGTTACCTGGAGGATATCAGCACTATGACTTTATTGACAGGTACAGGTTTTGTTACAGCTCTTTTATTTCCCTTCGTGGCACCCAAAGTCATGAGTTGGCAGAGAGTACCCTTACAAAGAATACAGTGACTGTAAACAGTCTGCGCCTATTATAAGAGACCTTAGAAGACACAATAAATTTGAAAGAGAAGATTTTGAAACAAAGAAAAGACTCAAATAGAAGTTAAGGACGAAAATGATATGGTTTGACAGGGAATGTTTGGATAAGGGAAATTAAGATGAATCAATCATTGCTAAACACACATAGATACACACAGACACACATGCACGCAGGCACGCACACAACATACACACACAAACACAAGCAAGCTATTTCATTAAAGATGGAAGAGAGAAAAAGAGAGAGAGAAGGGCGGATGGGGAACAAAAGGATGGATGGATGAGAAAGAGAGAAAGAAAGAGAGATGATGAAAGAAAGTATTCTCAGTAAATGCCTTGCACTATTTTCTTCTGCCTTTTTGTGCTGTTTCAGTTGTACCTGTACAGTGTCAAAGATTTTCTGTCTGTTGCTTTGAGATTGAAGCAACGAGTAGCAAGGGATTCATCCCTTTTGTTCTCCTTGAAATAAACTGTGGGTGGTTAGCGGGTGCTGTGGTGTGGTTTGCTTCTTCTTTCCTATGAAACATCTATCATCCTTATCTCCCCTTCTTTTTTATGTTTATTACTCTCTTGTAACACCTCTAATCTTCTGGCGCTCATATGACCTTATGCAGTTGCGAGCACCGTAAAACCTCTACTAAAAATATACTGGAGCTCTTATACTTATACTTTTCACAGCGTTTCTGCAGTTTATTTTAAAGTCAAACAAAATATATAATAATATGTATATCATCGCATCAAACACTGCCTACTTCAGAAAAAAATCCTTCTTTCTCCACAAGACGATGTGAATGTTGAAATGAGAGTGCTCTGATCAATTTCAGCATATCCAAGAAGCCTGCCACCTACCGCTTCAAAGCTGAAAAGAGGGATGCCTTTGATGTTCTCAACTTTGGGAAAAAAGACAAGGTGAGACATATCAAGGAGTGAATCGACAATGTGTGTGTATATGTGAGGGTATCATTCTGTTGTGCTGTGGAACTGTTAAATGATGAACTAGGCCAGCATGCGAAAGATTGAGGTTTAAAACTGATTTTTGTAGGTCCTTTTATCTATTTTTCCTTTCATGCTCAGTATCCACACATGAAATGGAGGAGGTTGTAATGCTTCAATATCTTTTAATCATCCTCGGGGTTGATTTAATTTTATCAAGTGATGCTCCAGATCAAACAGTTTATCTTTTTCAACAGGCCATTATCATAGCTACAACTTAATCATGTTTATGCCTTTCTCTCTCTCTCTCTCTCTCTCTCTCTCTCTCTCTCTCTCTCTCTCTCTCTCTCTCTCTCTCTCTCTCTCACTCTTTCTCTCTCCCTTTCCCTCTCCCTCTCCCTCTCTCTCTCTCTCTCTCTCTCTCTCTCTCTCTCTGCAATGTCTTTCCGTCCTCCTACTCATTCTGCTTGTGTTGCAAACTCATTCCATACCGGGGGGGAGGGGGGGGGGGTCTGTTTTTCCCAAAGTAATGTCATATGTCCTTAAAGTACACATCTAAATAATGTTCCTTGATGCTTGTGTGTAAAGACAAAAACTGGTGGACTGCATAATGAATGACATTTAAACAGCAGTTTTATTTATATATTTATATAAAGATATGGGAAAGTAAAAAAATAGATATTCTGTATTTTCTACTACTCAGAAAACCCTCTTTCTTATGACGAACAGAAAAAAGTGAAATAATATTATTAAGCAATGAAAACGTTAAACTTCGACTGTTTTTCCTTTTGCTGCAAAGGACATTACAGTTTCTCCAAACGCTTACGAGATGGAAAAGTACTTATCAGTGACTGCGGAGAAGACTCCTGTCAAGTAAGTTGTTTCTGTAAAGAAATCAGATTTTAATCTGTAATTTTTGTCTTCAAAATTTGACTATAACATTTTTCCTGTGGAGAGACAGCTTCATGTTCATTGAATAGATTTTATGGAGAGAAACACACAGTTTTCACCCAAAGTCTTGCATCAACTTTTTAAGGTTGATGTGGGTCTGTTGTGGAAGTTCATCCTAATATAAGGACAGCAAAACAAAAGTGCACCGCAAAATGAGATTATTTCTGAGTGGACAGAACAGACGGTGTCTCTGAGTTATTTCACAACACGCTTTGTCCATTCCTTCACTTTGATGAGTGGTTTTATAGACTCATTCCCACTCAGTACAGTATTTCTTTTCAATCTTGGTACACTTGCTATAAGCTGAGGATACACTACAGTCAAACCTGCCCTGACAGCCGTCTGTCCAAAATATATCCTCCCTACCCAAATGACCACTTCCCACTTTCCTGTTGTATTTTTTAGAAACATTAGAAAGAAACTGTCCGAGTTGTCCACTCAAGACAACCCCTTTTATCCCTCTACAATGACGTAGGTTTCCATTGTAGTTTAATTTTGGCCTCGTCCAGTCGGTCATAATTTAAGTGTAGGAGATGTTTTTTAGTGTGTGATGTGTGTGTATATACAGTGGAACCTGCCCTGACGGCCACCTGTACAAACGGCCACTTTCCATATCCCCCCCTTGCGTTTTTTTTTCTATATAATTTAACTGTAAAACGGGCACTTGTCCAACGCGGCAGCGGCCACCATATTTTAACACACAACCCCTATCACACTAAGCAATAATACCTGTCTTAGAAGGCCACCTTAGTGACTCCATTACGTTTTGTCATTAATTGTGCATTGACCCCTGGCGTTGTTGGCGAGCCGTCATAATCTAATCACCTGTCATTGTAGTTAGGTTATCCCTCCAACCGATCATGTTGCGTAGGCCCCTCCCACTGTTGACCAATAGGTACCGATTTCCAGCTGCTGGTGAGGGAAGCGTGTGATCCCTCATAACCCATAAGCCCCGCCCAGAACTCATACACGAAATTGTGACAGAAGCGTCGCTCATTCTCCGAGTGGTGGCGACCCATAAAAATGTTTGTTTTACCATAGCACTCGGTCCTCCTTGTCTGACACATTTCGTTTTATTCTCACCCGTGCACAAAATCAGCAACAAAATAAAAATAAGAAACAAAATACAAACCAACAACAAAAACAACAATAATGCGGCTACTTTCAATTGGGAATGGGGTTTGTTTTCTTCATCTTGATCAGTCCTGCCTAAGACGGCCACCTGTCTTAAACGGCCACTTTTCTCCTTGACAATGGGTGGCCGTCTTAACACAGGTTTGACTGTATATACACACATCACACACTAACAAGCATATATGCCTGATTCCACAAGGTCGTGACCATAGATATATATGATATGTGTCACAACCTTGTGGAATCAGGCTCTCGTCAATTTTTGGACATGTGGAGTTATTGGTATCATCTGAAAGCTGATTTATTTGCCTTGCTTTCAATGGAATAGATATCCGTCTATCTTGAATACAACTAAAGGTATTTGCGATTGAAGGAAGTTAGGTCAGCTGGTTTGGTGGTGAAATTAGAGAGAAAATCGCTGCCAAAGTTTGGTAACTCCAATAACTAAAGAGTCCTTGAAAACAGAAAAAGGATATATTTTGTGCCTTTTATCAATGTTTTTCAGCAAAATTCACATGGAAATGTGTTTTTATATGGACATAAAAGAGTTTGAGCAAAAAATAAAAATTCAATAAAAATTTCCATACTGGCAGAAAAATGCCTGTTTGTCCGATTTCTGTATTTTGACGAGTGCCTGATTTCCCTACACTGCCTCACATAAAGGTTTATTAACCTATGGACAATGAAAGATGTAAAAAGTGGAACCTCTGAATTAACTGTTTAAACCCCATCGGACGCTGGTAGTGTCCGGCGGTAATAACCCTGTTCCCCATCGGACGCTCCCGACACTAATGACAACTGTTTCGTTTCATTTAGTGCTAGTTTTTGCTTGTTTTTCGGAACTATTCCCAAACTAAGTTTATTAGTAATGAAAGAAGTTAGAGGCAAGCTTTTGGGGTTATAATGAGACATAGTGGGCCAGGTTTAGGTGACCGTAGAAATAAACTTCGGAAAACGGTGGAAATAACTCAGGGTCTCAATAGTTAAGCACCCATTTCCCTAAAGGACTGAGCCAAGCAGTTGGATAGCCTTGAAAACTATGCTAACTATTCAAATTTAAGAATGCCCTTAGGGGATTCAAACCAGGATGACTCACACTGTAGTTGAGCATGAAACCAGCTGAGCTACCAGCTCACCCAACTGCTTCTCAGAGAGCAACAATATTGGAAAAAACATTCAGAGCAAAACTAAAAGCATATTCTGGATGTAAAATTCAGGTCCACTGGCAATTTTTTTCCTTCTGAAACATTGCAACACTTTGTTCGGGGAGTGGAGAGGGCTTGTATCTCCCTAACTCTTTATCTCCGTGGAGGGTAAACCCACTATGCTGGGCCCCTTTTTTGGTACTAAATCATAAAATGACAAAAACACCAATAAATGGGTCGTTAAATCAAAACAAATCAACCTATTTTGATAGTTCTTCATCTAACCAACGAACTCCCGATAAAAAAGTCCTGTTTCGGTAGTTGCCGACAAGCAATTTGATATCCAAGTCGTCGTAAAGGAATGTGCCGGAGCCACTGTCAGCGGCTCACTGGCACAGCGGTTCCAATCGTGAGCCGCTGGGAGCGGCTTGGTGGAGATAAAGAATTAAAACTCTTTAATCCTGTTCCCTATCGGACACCCGATACTAGTGACAACTGCTTCGTTTCATTAAGTGCTAGTTTCTGCTTGTTTTTCAGAACTAGATCTATTCCAAATCCAAATTTAGACCATTAAGAAGTTGGCGGCAATTTCAGATCGTGTTTTCAGAAATTATAATGAGACATAGTGCACCAAGTGTAGGTGACTGTAAAAAAACTCCTTGGAAACGGTGGAAAAGACTCAGGGTTAAAAGAGTTAATGTACACTGAGCAACAGATATTACTCTTGAATGACTGGTTGTGGAAGCTCAGACTCACTTGCCTCATGTTGCTCTTTTTCTTCCCTTCAGGAATTTCATGTTTAGATCTCAGTCAAAGCGATTCCCAACCCAGTCCTTCAAGCCAGTAAGTCCCTTATACCTTGATGTGTGTGAATGTGTGTGTTAAGATCGGCTGTGTTTGTGTAAGTCTGTGTGTGTGTGTGTGTGTATGTGTGTGTTAAGATCAGCAGTGTTTGTGTAAGTCTGTGTGTGTGTGTGTGTATGTGTGTGTTAAGATCGGCAGTGTTTGTGTAAGTCTGTGTGTGTGTGTGTGTTATGTCATCTGGAGATGTCATTTCTGACTCCAGAGGTTGACATGTATTGACCTTCCAGCCTTCAAGGTTGCAAGCTGCCGTTGCACATTCTGCTATACCCAGACCAGTCTTAATATTGTTCACCCGTGTTACTTTTTTCTTCCCCTGGCTGTCCTCCCCAACATCCTTCTATCAAGCACCTCTTTCACCATGGTCTGGTGTCGTTTTAAGTGACCAAAGTATTTTATTTTTCTACATTTTATTTTGTAAAGCAGAGTTTGTCTTGTGTGGGGAATTTGACACACCTCATTGTTAGTCTTTTTTTTCTTTCCTGCTAATTTTAGCCATTCTGCGTTAACACCACATCTCACAGACAGCTATTTTGTTTTCTTCTTTATTTGTTAGTTAAAGTCCAGGTTTCAGGGCCATATTTGATGTTTCGCTTTGTTAACCTTCTTATAACTGCCGACCATTGGCATTTTTGAGAGCATTTGACAAAATAATTGCAGACAGTCTCTAAGATTTCACTTTTCATGATTACTGTAATGGGTTCTTACAATTATAATAATATTATGCTTTGTAAGTAGGGTATTTCTGTAATTTTGATCTTCAGAAAAAGTCATAAATTTCATACAAATAAAAAGATTGTGCTTTCGGCATTTTCCAGAAAGATGGTCCTTCACCAGGAGCATACAGCGTCAAGAACCACACGCCTCCTTGTCCATCCATCACCTCCAGCTTCCGATCAAAGACTCCCAGATTCCAGACCTCCCACACGGTATAGAAACTTGCTCATTACTTGGTGCATATCTGTCTTCTCACTGCTTGCTCCTCTGCATGATGTTCTGTGTGCTGCCTGTCAGTCTTTTGCAAATATCAAGTACACGTATACAAATGAATTGTGTTTGCGGTCACTATTATTTGATGGTACACACTACACACATCTTGAGTTACCAAAAAACTTCCTGCCTTTTTTGTAGAATTTGAGTCTTTGAAATTTGGAAAAAGTTTGTTTGGAGATCAATAATTTAGTAATCTTGAGGCCAGAATGAGACAAAACTATGACCATATATGTTCACTGTATTTTCTTGATACTCTGTGTGTGGCTCGGAGATCAGTTTTGAGCTGTGATAAAGAGAGATAAGAAGATGAGGTTATTTTCTCATTCCTGAAATTACCATAGATAGATTAGGAAGTTTGAATAATAAGCAAAAAGCAAAAAAGATGGGTATTTTTAGGCCAGAAATACCAATAACTCCTTGTACAAGTATGTTTAAACAATTGTTGAACGCCTGATTTTGCCTTGTCAAGATACATATTACCTTAAAAATGCAGACACAAAGACTTATTTTCAAACTATTAAAAACTTATTCTGTGTTTTCTGTGTGGCATTCGGTTTCACTCATTTGGTGTGGATCATAGTGATCATGCATTGATGTCTCTACTGTAGCAATATATGTCAAAATATAATAGTTATTTCTTAGCACTCACGTCTTCTGTCTGCCAGACAGAGGGACGACTTTCCTTACTCTCAAAACAGCACATGTCTTGAAATTAAGATCTTTGGTATACATTTAAATATAGACCAACTGATGATTTCATATATTTCCGACTTTTGGAAATGACATGTCAGTGCTACCGATTTTAATACAGACTTACTCAGCGCAATGGATTGTAGACTTTTAAATTCAAACTTTAAATAATCATAATAATCTTGTACTGTACATAGTGAACAGTTCTTAAAAAATATGCTTCCAACCCTTTGCTCCCACATTTATTGAATTGTTTCACATACGTCTTTTGCTTCAGTGGGAACAAATTTCGCATTTTTTAACATTCAAGGCTTCGCCTCCCGGATTTAACAGCAACATCATATCTTTCCATCACAAAGAAGTTTTCATATGTTGTTTCTCACTGCATTACAAGTACTTTATGCAAGTCTCTGGTTTTTGTGAAAAATGTATTCTGAGATTATATGTTTATGAAAATGTCATTACTATTTTTGTTTCGTAATCAGATACTGTGCACTTGTGTGTTTTTCTGTGATTTTTCTTAGTGAGTGTGGTTGCCTAATCATTGCCACTGGTTTTATTCTCACTCATTTCCCTCACTGGAATTGGCATGTTTTGGAAACAGAATACACGAAAGGTAACGTTCATGTAATGTAGAATTTGCACCCCTTTCTAGTTCAGACACTTTTTTTGCCATGCCTTGAGTCGAAATGAGTCCTTTTTAAAATGTCAATAATTTGATCTTGGGATTTGACAAGAAAATTAAAGAATTTTACAATAAAGATGACTGTAGTTTGAGAAATGTTTCCCTTTGAAATGTTCTTTTTTTCTGCTCATGATTAGCAATTCAAAGAAATTGTTGAGAAATACTGCTGAAATTGATAGAGTTCAGTCTAAAAAAAAGTTCTCAGATGTTACAAAGCTTCACATACTCATAGCTCACTAAAAATTTACTGACTAACAGTACAGATAAATAATCTCTGCATTATCAAATAAATCAGCACTACCCAAACTGTTTGCCCTAGAATGGTTCTTTTTTCTCCTCCACTGTTACATATAACTCACAACTTGTTTTTGCTCACTGCATGGTGTTTTTGTTATTCTGGTGTTTTGGAAGTTGTTGGTTGAATGCTTTTACTTTTATCATGTATCCTGCACAGCATGGTTTTCTGTTTGCACATCATTGGTACATGCTTGCACCTTACTCTGGTGAACAGTGGTGGCAGAACGAATATATGGCGTTACACTTACTCATTTTCCTCATTTTTGTTCTGTTTTTAAAGGAATGTGTGTCTTTTTCGTTGTTGGTATGGAAAGTAATGACTTTGTACTAGCAAATTATGTTCTGATTTTTGTTTAGTGAATGGACAGGATGCTTTGAGATAAAGGAAGCGACCACGTTGGTTTGCATGAATTTTCCTAAATAATCACTAATTTTCAAATTACCTTTCGTTTGGCTTTTGTCAACAGACATAACATCTTATGCTGAACTCAAAAAGAAAATGTTGCTGCCTTTCGTCTTTTTAAAAATTTGTCAATTGTAATGTTGCAAATCAAAGTTGACGCCAAAGTAAGCTGTTTCAGTAAATGTATGAATTTGTGTTAATTAAAAACGCCAATGTTGGGTTTGGAAGAAATATGCATAGCATGAATCAAAGAGGGG